GGGGACTCAGGACTTCTCAGGGGCTGTGGAGTGGGCTCAGATAAGCCCCTCCCCTCACTAGAATCTATTCCCACACTGGGCTATGAACAGCTGGCTCCCCAATCCCGGGCCCCTCCTAGACCCCGTTGGTCCTAGAGCAGCTGTGGCCCCCTAGGCCTCATGCCAGGGACCAGGGAAGGCAGGGACACCTGTGAATGGTTGAGGGACACAAGTCTATGCTGCTCTGAGTGTGAAGGAGGGGTCCTCCCAGAGGAGGCCTGCTGGCAGGGGCAGGGGCAGGCACAGCACCCAGCCAGGAAGGATGGTGCAGGGTGGGACACCTGAAGGCGATACTCCCCTAAAGCCAGACCCGCCCACCCCTGGCTCCATCTGCTTTCCCTGGTACTTGGGACACATCTAGGAAATCTGACCCGGGCCATGTTGGGTGGCTGGGTATGGGGACCAGGCTCTGGAGGACAGCCTGGGGAGGAGGGTGGGGTCGCAGGAGACAAAATGAAACATCAGAGAAGACTTTTTGTTTTCCTGAAGAGTTGGCTTTGGAAGGATACATACGGGCTCTTCCTCGGTGGACATTTGGACCCAGGACATTTCAGGTAGTGATGGTGGGGCAAGGGCATGGAGCAGTGAGCAGCACGAGGAGTTTGAAGAATCACAAGCGTTTCTGGTGACTAGTGTTGGGACATGCATCTCAGAAGGATGATGGGAAATGGGAGCAGTAGGTGGCCTGAGCCAGCTCCTGTAGGGGCTGAGTGAGGGCACCTGGGTGATCTTTTGTAGATGAGGAGGAGTTCCCAGAGACCAGGATGTGATCAGAGTGATATATGAGGAAGAACCCGGTGGTGGGTACAAATCAAAGTGTGGAAAGTGTCCAGGAAATATTTGATTGATGGATGAAGAATGCCTAATGGGCAGGTAGGTGGATGACAGATGGGTGATGGATAACAGATGACTGATGGATGGATGGGGGATGGATGACGGATGAGTGATGGATGGATGGGATGATGGATGGATGGATGGATGGATGGATGGATGGATGGATGGATGATGGATGGATGATGGTTGAGTGGATGGATGATGAATGGATGATGGTTGAGTGAATGGATGATGGATGAGTGACGGATGGGTAGATGAATGACAGATGGATAGATGCCTGGATAGATATATAAATGAACAGAGAGTGGATTAATGGATGGTGCACAGAAACATGGCTGGATAGGCAGACAGTTGAGAGGATGATGAATGGAATGACAATGGACGGATGGACCGATGGATAAACAGAGGGACAGGTGGATAGACCAGAAGAGAGAGAGGCTGGAGGCCAGCAGCCCAGTCCGAAGGCTGTTGCAATGTGGTTGATGAGAGGCGTAGGCCTGCAGTAACTGTCCTGGCCTGGACGTAAGGTGAGAAATACGCATCGGAGAGATTCAAGAGGTAGAGCCCAAGGACTTGGAGATGGACAAATGAGAAAGAAGTTGGGAGGTGTTTCCCACGCCACCTAGTTGAACTTGGTTTGGGTAATGGCAGGGTGGTCATGAAGCTGGGAACGAGGGAGCTGCTTTCTGTCTGAGGTCTCTTCAGCACACTGACTTCAGAGGGGAGGGTCAGGAAGTCTGGGAGCTATCAGTGTGATGACCACTGACCCACAGGTATGGCTGATCTGAGGAGGGTAAAGTCTTGGTAAGGCAGATTGCTGGGAGCCCAGGGTGGGGGATCTGGATGGCATGCGGCAGGTATGACACTTCCTAGGCTACCTACAGGGTGGTGGGACCTTCCCTGCAGGTCTCTCTGAGGGGTTCTGCTTGTGGCCCTGCCATTGCTGGTGGGGGTGGGAGCCTCACTCTCTCCTCCAAAACCTAGGCCACCAGCTCTAAGCAAAGGAGGTCATAGGGCGCCATATTGGTATCTCCGGGTCAACTTTTGTTTTGTGTTCTAAACCTTTGGGTCTGTTCCTTGTGGAAGGAGGTTCCCCCTCAGAGTCTCTTCCATGGCCCTTTCTATGAACTGCTGTGGGGTGGGGGTGGGGCGCAGAAAGACCTGCCCCATCACTGATGGCCAAGCCAAACTCACTGGATGATGGGTAGATGGGTCAGTAGGTGAATGGGTGGGTGGGTGGATGGATGGGAGGATGGGTGGATATATGGATGGATGGATCGATCAATAGATAGGGTGAATAGGGGAATGGGTGGGTGCTTGGATAGATGAATGGGTGGACAGATGGGGTAGATGGGAGGATGGATGGATGAATGGATGAATGGACAGATGGATGGATGGGTAAATAAATAGATGGGTGGATAGGTGAGTGAGTGAATAGATGGCTGGGCAGGGGGATGGTTCGGTAGATGGATGGGTGAATAGATGGATGGATAGATGGGTGATTGGGTAGGTGGGGTGGTAGTGGATGGGAGGATAGATGGGTAGATGGAGCCCCCCTTTTCACAAGGTATAAGAACATTTGTGGGCACCCTGAAGTCATTTCAAGAATGCCAAGTCTGTTTCCCTCTCCCTGGTCCAGGTCAGAGACTCCCGGCGTCTAGGGAGCCACACTGCCCCTCGGGGCAAACTCAGACCCAACCATGAACAAAATGGGCCTTTCTTGGCCAGCCATCAGTGGCCTTTCGAAGCTCCTGGAAGCACACACTGGGCATGGGCACCAGGAGGGTCCCTGCTCCCAGACAAAGCTGCTGACAATAGGCCCCTGGTTTGAAGAAACCCACGGGATGCATTCGAACCATTGCAATTCCTGCAGCAGAAGAGCTAAAACCGTAATAGCGGAAGTAGTTATTCAAGGGGCCTTTGTGGGCATGCCACTCCTCTCGATTTTGCCTGACTTCAAAGCGGGCAGGGGACTTTGGGTCTGTTTCCCACCCCATGGACCTGACTGAATATACAGCCCTGACTGCCCGGAGATGGGCTGCGTCGTCTAGGTTACATGTGGATGGAAAACCTCTTATCCCCCAAGGAGGTATCGGCTGGATTGCATGTAATAACTAGTTGGAAGGAGCAAGGACCCTAGTTATGTGTTGTTTACCCCAGGGTGTCCCCCACCCTCAACCCTTGGAGGGGGAACACAGTGGAGTCAGGAGACCCTTTTTTGTTGCATGGAGGCTCAGTCTGAGCTCCAGACCCCCACCTCCAGACTGTGCGTGCTGGTGACACTGGTCGCCCTCAACCCTCCTCGGGACCCACCCTTGGGATGGGCAGGCTGCCCCAGGGCTGGTTGCCAGGCCGCCTCTTCTCCAAAGGGAAGGTTTGAGTCTAAGAAACACTTCACCCTCAGAAATTCAGGGAGGGTGGTCAGTCCTGGTCCTGCTTTAGCACAATGGGGACACAACAGGTATTGGGGGGCACATTTTCTAAGCCGGCAGCATTTGAGAGCTTAGGACTCAATCCCCAGCAGAGCCCTCCCTAGGGCCGTGCTCCAACGGGCCCGCCCTGGCAACACCTCTGAGAGAGACAGCTGGGCAGAAGATGGTCGATTGGACTCCCAGGCTCCGGCTGGGCTCTGCACAGCCCGGCAAAGCACTGGACACCCATGTCCACCCCCTCCTGGGAGGCCACTCCACCCGTATCTCACACGGGGGAGGGGGGCAGCACTGGACTCACCGAAGCATAGAGACGTCCCCTCTTGTTCATGGCCAGGTACCGGCCCGAGAAGACCCCCTTAATGGCCACAATGCCCACTTCCACAGCGGTGATCTCCAGGATGCCTGCGAAGAGTCCGGAAGCTCTGTCAGGGGGACTGGGGGTGGGGGGTGGGGGGGGTGTCTTCTCCCGTGGAGTCACAGAGCTGAGCCGTTTGCGGGGTCCCAAGCTGTGCCCAGGTTTGGGCACCCATCCCCAGCAGGAGGGATGGCTTTGTAAGTTCCTGGGAGGGAGGGAAGAGACTAACTCCAAAGGAGAAGGGACAAAATACATTTACAGGGGTCACCCAACACCTCCAGGACCCCTGCTGTCCCTGCAGTTCCACGGCAGGATGCTCACCACAAGGTCAGCTGTTTGAAATCACCTGCTGCTCCCAGGGAGAAAGAGGGGACTTTCGACTCCCCTAAAAAGTCGCAGTCTTAGAAGCCCACGGGGGCAGTGCCACCCTGCCCTACAGGGCTGCTGCTGTGAGTCAGGTTTGAGTTTCATTGAAACCCCAGGAGCCCTGGGTTGCAGTGGCTCGTCTTGGGCTGCTCACCACAAGGTTAGCGGTTCGAAACCACCAGCTGCTCCCCAGGAGAAAGAGAGGGGCTTTCTGCTCCAGTGAAGAGTTACAGTCTTGGAAACACACGGGGGCGGTTTGACCCTGTCCTGAGGGAGGGTAGCTATCAGTCAGAATGTACTAAATAGCAGTGAGAGTTTTTGTTTGATAAGGCAGACAAGGGAACGGAAGTTAATGGACAGACAGACAGGTCAGGGGTGTAGCCTGGGAGTTCCCACCCTGCCTGCAGTTCCTGGAGCCAAACCTCAAAAGTGCTGCTGTAGCGTGGATGAGGTCCCAGGTGGAGTGGGGTGGCCGGGGGCGGGGGCGGGGGGAGGGGGACCTGCTTCTGATCATGGAATCCACACACAGTCCCCACCCCAACATGTGGTGCTGAGCTTGGGTGCAATCTGTCTGGGCAGGGGATCCCAGGTCGCCAGTCTGTGGGTCACGCAGCCTGAATTAGACCCCAAGTTCCCAACATAAAGGACAGCCCCTGAACTGGGCAGGGCTCCCCCCGCCCCCCTCCACGCTGCTCCTCCGGAAGTTGAAATCCCAAGGAACCGTTTGGCCCCCTGCACTCAGCGGATTGCTCAGTAAGCCTGCCAACAAAGGCCCCAGCAGGGCCCCTGCGGCCCCACTCCCCCGCCCCCGCATCGCCTCCCAGCGATGCGGAAGGAGTTAGTGGGGGCCGTCTGGCTGCCCCAGTCCCCTCAATCCCCACAGGGGAAGCGCGCGCCTAGCTTGGTCACCAGAGCGGCGCTCGGACGTGGCGCCACCGACACTTGCGCGGTGCTCCCAAGTGCATGCACGTTGCGGGCCTCTGCGAGCCGGGGAGCAGGCTTAGAGACTCGGCGATGTCGCCCCGCCAGGAGGGCCTGGGAAGCGCGCGCCTGGTTGCGGGCCAAGGGGGTGGCAGGGCGACGCTCTCCCTCCACTTCTGGGCAGCCCACACTGGTGGTCCCACGGCGTTTGGGCTTTGAGTGGAAGCATGGATTTGGAGAGGGCGGGGTGCGAGGAGACCCTATGCTACAACTACGTAGTCCATCGCAGTTGGCGGGGCGTCGGGAGGGGTGGCTTGCGGGTACACGCCCTCCCGGAAGCTGTGGTCTCCCGCCGCCGCCTGTGAATCCTCTGCGCCGCGAGTTCCCGCACCCCAGCCCCACAAGTCCCACCGGCGGGTCTCTCAGCATCCGCATCACGGTCCCTACCCCGACTTCGAGGGTTGAGAGCGGCTCTCCAGCTCCCAACAAGCCAAGCAGTGTGCTGCGCGCCCTCGCCCGCCGAGATGGCGCGGCGGGACTCGGAGGTTGAGTCCGCGGCTGGAGAAGCCTCGCGGGGCCCATCGCACACACAGCCGCGGTGCGAGCTTCGCTGCGGGGCAGGAGGTCTCTGCCCTTTCAAGTTCCAGGGGAAGGATGAGAGCTTGTTCCCCAGCGGCAGGGTGCCCAGCCCAGCTAAGCGTGGTGGGAGGGTGCGGACTCTATGGCGGAAGATGACAGTCTGGTCTGCCGGCTTCTGTTGGCAGAATCTGTCAGTGACGGTTGCGACCCGGGAGTCCCGTCCCGGCGCGCATCCTTTGAGTGGAAGCGGTGGCAGCGGCGGCCACCCGGGCGGCAGCGAGCCAGGCGGGCGGAAGGGACGTCGGGGCGTCCCGGGGTCGCCAGGAGGAGAAGTCAAAATTATAAAGAGGATGATGGATGTCTTGTCCCAGCGCCCTTTCTCCAAGGAGCTCAAAGAGCCGACGCTGGTCTGAGCTCCCATCCCGCCGAGTGGGAGCCCATATTGCGGCCGCGGCCTTCCGTGCGCGCGCGCGCCCCTCCAATCGGTCAGCTTGCCCCGACGGGAGCAGCTATGGGGCTGGGGGTGGGGGGCGCTTTCGAGGCGATTCCCCGCTTCCCTCGGACCCCATTGCGCTCTTGCCCTGGGTTCCTCCTCTGATTTAGGGCCAGGTGGCCCGCGCTCCGGGGTACCTTTGGTGTGGCGACCCCTTCCCGGGACCCGCTGGACCCGGGAGCGCCACTCCCACCCCGAGGACCCCAGGCGGGGCCCCGGCACTCACTGTAGGCGCCGTCCTCCAGGCTGCCGTTGACGCGGCCGCTGGGGTGCAGCTGCAGGTGGTACTTGGTGGCACAGTAGAGCTTGCGGCGGCGCGGCGCCCCACCCAGG